TCCTTCGATATTCGTTCTGCTATTCGGCGATTGATGGCGTTACCCTTGCCGTCGTAACACCAGGAACATGGCCGGTTCGATAAAGCCAAACTTTAGTGCGCTAACAAATAATGTCCTATAAATGTTATTTAAAATTTTGTTGAAGATCGGGAGTTGTAGGTAATAGCCGATACATGTAAAAACTAGGTAATGGAATCGAAATCGGGTAAGATAATCCAGCTCTGATATTAGAATTCCTTCGGTCTGAAGAATTTGTCTATAGACGTTTCAACCAAAGGGTCATATGAAGTGGGACGACAGATCGAAATCCGAAGTTAATATGCCACTTTGAGGGTTCAAATTTTAAATAACACAACAAAATGTCACATATATGTATCTGGTATATTATGTGCTTTAGAAATTAAAATTTTTTCTTTAATGTAAATCAACTTTTTTTTATTAGTAAAATTGTAAGAGCTCTAACATCAGCATCCTGAAATCTAGATTAAATTTGATTTGTTAAAAAAGACAACAATTTATTAACAAACTTAACGGAATGTCTAAAGACATCTATCTGGTGTTATACGTCTCCATCAGTCTTGACGTGGTAAATTAAATCACCCGATTCGTAATACATATACATATTACTATCCTTAAAACATGAAAGTGGAAAAAAACAAGTACAACTGAACGCAAACTAGCTCCTTACAATCTACGAACTATTGACGCTGGATATATGCTGAATATGGCACCAGTAAATTGTTTGATACAAACTGAAATTGCATGCTGCGAACACGAGGAAGTCGACGTCTACGTGTTAATTTAGTTTATTTGTCCTCTTGTGTCGTCGACTTGTCGCCAGCTTACTGTGTCATAACGATCCAAGGCTATGTATTCAATTCGTTTTGATATTTAAACCGATTAGACTTCTATTTGAAAAGCCCATTTTGTAACACAGGAGGAACTTCGGGTTTTGTTTTCCCCTACCTATGCTGATAGTCTTAAGAGGCTATTTCAGCTTCTCCTTGACGTGTAGGTGAGCTCATGGGGCTCAAACCGGAGTGTTGCTAACCGGCCCTAGCAAGAGCAATGCTTCACAGAATCTACCATCGAGTCTGAAACGCGACCCACTGAGAAGATCCGGCGAGAAACTCAGTAGGCTGTGTCTATGGGTTAATTTACTCGTCGAGCCCTTCGTCGCAAGCGACGGGTTCGGCGAGGACGGTGACCGCTGCTTGAGGCACCTAAAAGCACCTAACTTCAAGACTGGTTAGGTGTTAGGGCCAATCGCGATTTACGCCCAATTGTGCCGCATGCATTTCGATTTGAATTTGAATTAGATCTTATGTATTAAGTTGGCCAGTGGCTTTGTCGTTGTGGTGCATAGGCAATCTGGTGGCTGGATGGCCTATGACTTCCTAGCCCACGATGACTTCAAAGAGAAATTTACTAAGAGTTTTAGAATTACTTTCTATCTTGTTTATGCAGTTGTTCCCACATTTATCTAGAAAATGACGAATTTTCGTCTAATTTTCTCAGGTAAACATATAATAATGATAATAACATATAATTTTTTTTTTATAAATTATAACAATATTAATTCTTTCTATTTGTTACGTTTTTACACTTAAACCACTGAACCTATTTTGATGAGGCTTAGTGTGGGCTTAGCTTGAACACTGGGAACAGACTATGGGCTACTTCTCTGTCTACCACTGAGCATGAATTTCCAAGGACGTGATATACATTAGTCCACGCAGGCTGCGGGTGTAAAGCTACTGTATAATATAATAATAGTAGAGCAATATCGTTGCCAGGCCACCCTTCTAACCTCTTGTGAGTGGTGGTAGGATCTCTTGTGCGTCCGCACGGGTAGGTACCACAACCCCGCCTATTTCTGCCGTGAAGCAGTAATGCGTTTCGGCTTGAAGGGTGGAGCAGCCCTTGTAACTATACCGAGAACTCAGAACTTATATCTCAAGGTGGGTGGCGCATTTACGTTGTATATGTCCATGGGCTCCAGTAACCACTTACATCAGGTGGGCTGTGAGCTTGTCCACCCATCTAAGCAAAAAAAACTTGTGCTTCAAAAGAACTGTTCATCTTGACGTAAGTTCAATGCGAGCAATAGTTTCGGTAGGTGGCGGCCTTGCTCTGGCATTGTTTACGTCCACGAGCGACGGTAACCACCCACCATCCGGTGGGCCGTATGCTAGTCTGCCTACAAGGATAGTAAAAAACACAAAAGATTAATCAGGATATTCAATGAAATAACGATTGTATCATCGAACTGCAATTTTACTATATTATCATGTCTCCCCCTCCTCCTCGCGTCCTTTCCTCACTGTTGAGGGTCGTGACCATCATGTTTAGACAGGATTAAATTTTTTGTAATGTCCTTCCAGCGTTTCCGATCATTGTCCGCGTGAAGGGCTTCGTGGAATGGGGTTTCTAGTGCGGTCTATATGATCGAATCACCTGATCATGTATTAGCCAGACTATTAATATTTCAGTCCATAATTACCGAACTCCATACTCCAGCTTTATAATTATAGAAGTCGTCGTGGTCTAAAGGATAAGACGTCCGGTGCATTCATATCGAGCGATGCAACGGTGTTCGAATCCCGCAGGCGGGTACTAATTTTTTTAATGAAAGACGTACTTAACAAATGTTCACGATTGACTTCCACGGTGAAGGAATAACATCGTGTAATAAAAATCAAACCCGCAAAATTATAATTTGCGTAATTACTGGTGGTAGAGCCTCTTGTGAGTCCGCACGGGTAGGTACCACCACCCTGCCTATTCTACCGTTCCAGTCATGGCTTGCTGCGTCTATCGTAAAACGTATACACAATGTTGTTATGTACATGTACTGCGACGTATGTATTGAGGCGGGTAGGAGAAATCAGAGCCGGACCGACGAACCAAGACGGAAGCCCGATGGGTAAAAAAAAACCAAATCTACATATTTATGAGGCTTACTATAAAGCCAGTTGTTACAGCTCCGGGGTTTTAGAAAAGTGCTTTGTCGACAATCGGGTTTCAAGGTCCTTATAGGAATACAGCACCGCTGTGGTATCTTATAACGGTCGTTAGCAAAACACGTATTTTTTTTAAAGTTTCGTTAAGGATTATTAAACTCCACATTTCACTGTAAATTATTTTTATTTTAGAACTAGCTGAACCGGCAGACTTCATAGTGCCTCAATCGATAAATAAAAGACCTAACCTTTATTTAATTCCGGGAATTTTATCTACCTTTTAAACCTTCTCTAAACTTCGACAAATAATTCAAGACCAAAGTTAGTCAAATCGGTCCAGCCGCTCTCGAGTTTTAGCGAGACTAACGAACAGCAATTCATTTTTATATATATAGACATACCTAACTCCTTTATGCTGTTCGCTGTTACTGGTAAAATACATCATGTAACAAAATATACTTTATACAGATATACGTTATACTCCTTCTATGCGAGTTTCTCTCTATCTCTCTCTTTGTATTCAATCTTATTGAAATCTTCGACGTTGTTTTACAACGTGGGTGAAAATCAGGTTGTGATGTCTATGAACTGTCGGGGACAAGTTAATAATCGTAATGTGAGCCCATTTGCATGTGTGCGTCAATCAGAAAAGACACGATTTTTTGTATTACCATTCTCCTTACATTGGCATTTTGGTAAACATTACATTGAACCAATAAGTTTGATTGACTTAAAAGAACATATGAAAACTATGAACGGAAACAATGTCGCACTGATTCAGCTCAAGACTGTAGCTCTTTTAAATTATAATGAAATTTCATTTATGTCAAAACTACTATAAACGCCAGTGATGATATTATAAACGCGTATGTGAGTTTAGTTTGCTACTCTTTCATGTCTTAATTTACACAATTGATCGTCATTAAATTTTGCATGCACGCTCGCAATGGATATACATAGAAAATGGCATAAGATTCGTTTCATTTAGGAACAAATATTATTCCAGAGGAATATTTTTACTTGACTACATAAACGTCAGAGAAACCGCGTGTAAAAGAAGCTATTATAGTCAAATATAAATGAAAAAATTGGCTTGTAGAACTTTAAATGATTGTATGTATAAAAAAAAGAAATAACCCATTGCCTATTTGATTGTACCGCTATGTTGGGCTCAAAAATAATTGAGTATGGCTCAAGCGGGTGATTTGTATATGCACTGCGCATGCGCTGACCGAAGTCCACGGTCATGTTCCCTTTAGGACCGGTAATTGGGACTTCCGCTCTTTATTGAATCGTGGAACACTAACGTGTAATATAATGTCAACAAACTGCATACACAGTGTAACGATGCTTCTCTAACGTGATTTAGAGACACCGGATACAAAACTATGAATAATTTAATTATTATTATGGCGGTAGAGTTATCGTGGGTTCCGGCTTAGAGCGTAGGACATTTGACAGGAGGCGTCGACCTCATCTTAATAGGTGGGCGATAGCAGTCACGTTGAGGTACCAATAAAAATAAAAAAGATACTTCGCATTAAGAACATTGTACACGAAGTTAACCAAAAGTGTTGTCTCCTCAATCCTGTCCTTACGGCTAAATCTTAAGATTAATATGAATATGTGGGTATCGTACGATTTTTACTGCTTTTCTTCTCTGAATCTAACCACTGCATGGACACACTGTACCAGTCCACCGGACGGACAGACAATCTTTACACACAACTACCTGCAAAGCCGTATCCTTGGAATTATAATTTACTGGTAGTAGGACCTCTTGTGAGTCCGCGCGGGTAAGTACCACCACCCTGCCTATTTTTGCCGTGAAACAGTAATGCGTTTCGGTTTGAAGCACGGCGCAGCCGTGTAACGAAACTGAGACCTTAGAACTTATATCTCAAGGTGGGTGGTGCATTTACGTTATTGATGTCTATGGGCTCCAGTAACCACTTAGCACCCGGTGGGCTGTGAGCTCGTCTACCCATCCAAGCAATAAAAAAAACTATATATAGTTAATATTTTAATTTTCTACAGGATTCGTCCACAAACACCAGCCGAGATTGTGGAGGGATGCGGTATATGCGCGAGAGCAGGTGGTCCAGCGGGCGAGGGTGGGGTGGCATTGGGCACCGAAAGAGCCTTCACCTTCGATTACGCCTTCGAACCTTCAGCTTCGCAACAGGAGCTGTACGAAACCTGCGTCAAGAAACTGGTGGAAGCCGCTCTTGATGGATACAACGCTACCGTGCTGGCATATGGACAGGTTAGTTCAAAGCTGTATCTAAGCTTAAAATTCCTTGGGTCCGCGGTCTGCTCCCAACACCTTGCAGATCGTCAAGTCCCACATACCCCGCGTGCCCCCCTATACGCGGGGACCTCGTAGGAGGTTCGGCCTCTGGCCCGAAAAAAAATAAAAATGGCTGTATCTAAGCTTGTGACGTTTGTTTGTTCATACTCTGTTATCGCGCTTCGTTTGAACGGTTATTATGTCAAAACTTTGGATTTGTTTTGTGCCCTTGGTACGCCCAGACGGATAGGTCAGCTCACGGGCTCGATCTGAGAGAATTTGCTAACACTAGTCCTAGTAAAAGCAGTGCTTCGCAAAATCTACCACCGAATCGCAATCGGGACCCACTGAAAAGATCCGGCGGAAATTTTGTATAGTTCTTGTCACTACCGGGAATGATTATGATATAGGTAGTAACTTTTAGTAGTACACACACACTTGTGACAAGTGAAGTCAAGTGGCTCCGACTAATCAGGTTTTTTTTTGTTTGAGAAACGCATTTATCCTTCGCAATAGTCAAAGCGATCTGTGACCGGGTTTCACTAGTCATTACATTAAAATTGTAAACAGATGTGTGTGTGTCTGTGCGTCGGTGCTAATCGTTTCATATGCGGTTGAAAAATTGAAATGAAATGTCAGCTTTCTAAATTAGGAATATGTTAACATCTACACACGTAGGATGCGATGCACTTTTATATGTTAACTGCGTTGTTAGTCTTTATATGTGGTATAAATAAATACATAAAATAATACATAAAAAGTAAAAATATATATATTACAAACACGAAAACTGACCATAAAATAAAATGAGGATACCCAATTTTGTCGAAGTTAATTAAATAAGCATTATTAATGATAACTCGAAAACTACTACGCAGATCTTGTTATATGAGAAACATCGGCTGTTAAATTAGGATTGTCCAAATCGGTTCACCTAGAACAAGGTTCTGAGGTAAAATCCATAAAAAATAAAGACGAATTCAGAAGCTTCTCATTTTTTGAAGTCGATTAAAAAACTAACATCTACTGACCCTTTTTTCTATATCTGTTTCTTAATTCCAATTATTTATACTATGAGTGGGAGCCATCTGCGTATTAATATCTAAAACCACCAAGGTAACGGTAGGATGTGAATTGATGCCTCTTCATTCCTTTTCTTTATAAGCAATAGTAATCACAAATGATCAGTTGATTCGAAAGCTCGCCTTTTATAGCAATAACAATAGTAAGTACACCGCAAACAGTCTCTTTTGTATTAAGATTCTTATACATAATGGTTGTATAGAAAAAAAATCCCCGGTCTCTCTAGATCAGGGGTTCCCAAACTTAATTTGTGTACGGCCCACTTTGAGAATAAATTATTTTTCTAACGCCCCCCTTTTTTCACCTAATTAAAAACCACTATAGCGAGAGCTCAGTTGGTGTCTAAGAGTCTTCCTAGATGAAATTACAAATCTCCTCCCAAGCCCCTACACAACGCCCCCATTTTTTTCTGGGTCTGTTACCGCCCCCCTGTAGGCCTATAGCGCCCACAAGGGGGCATTATCGCCCACTTTGGGAAAGGCTGCTCTAGATGAAATTAGTCATTGTGCTTTTGAGCTATTTCTGTTGATGTATCCATTTGATGTATATTCTGCTCTACTGTTTTACGATAAATGATTGCTCGTATCATTTCTAAAAGTATTATTTGTGCAAAGAGAACGAGATCTAAGAAATTCTGTTTTTAATTAAGTTATTTTAAATTTATACCCGGAAACTTCTATTGTTTTTAGCGACCAAACTTCGTAGCCCTTGTCTTGACTGTAGGCAATTGAGCTCAACAGGCTAAAACTAAGAAACCTAGAGAACAATTAACCCGGTTGCTAAAAATATAACGCTGCAATACTAATTAAAAGCTAGAAGATTCCTGTCGTGTGCTATAAAATCCCGGCAAAGTTCTTTATGGAATATGTTCGCGTATTAATAGCTTCTGCAATGGTTTTAAGCACAAATAGAATTTAATTATCCCAATGTATTAGTCTTGAACACAATGCAAAACCGTTTCGTAAACACTTGAAACAATGTAATCATTCGAAATATCTGTTCTCGGAAACCGGTCGATGTATTCCAATTTCGTTAAATCATCAGGTATATGATTACAAAGAACGATTTCAGTTAACGGACAAGGAGAATTAACAATTCTAATACTTACATAACAAGTTGCGTTTCGTGATTCGATTAACAATTTTTTACTGTTGAACCAATTGAAACAGTTCAGTTGTGTTAGACCAGTGCAGTCAAAGAAAGAGAAGTGGAACAAGAATCACCCCAAAACATCTAGTTCTTTCTTTGAGCGAATCATATTATCCTATCTCTTATATTGAATTATTTATATTTTGTGATTAGAACATGATGATAAATAAATCAAAACTTATACTTCATTCTTCGTTAATGGTAAAAAGAGTTTTCTCATCGACAAAACTGAAATTCTCTTAGATCATCGTTGTGTATATTTTAAGATCTGAGGTAAAGATTATGTTTGATCTAATTTATACCGTGAAGAGATATATCCAAGTGTGACGTCGCTTTACATAACTTTTGATTACGAACACATAAGTTGTAGAGATAGATATACGACAAAGAGAAGATTTCCACCGAGCGGGTGATATTGCTCGGTAGACCGACGGTCCGAATGTTGTTGTTCGGAACCTGTATATATGCGCTTTATCTTGAAAATGTCGTAAGCGAGATTCAGGCATCTGTCAAATATCTTGCGTTGTATGATGGATACCCGCCACAGAGTATAATTGGGATTGGGATGGCAAGGTCCAAAAGGACCTTTTTGAGAAAATGCGCGTAATGGAATTTAATTGCTTATCCACGTGCACTATGATATGCTATAACCCTTCTCGTTCAGTATCTAAGGCATATTTGTGGAAATGAAGATACGGGTCCGCTGTAGCGCGCTTTGTTCTAGTTTCTTCGCACGCTCCTCTAATTATATAGATAAAGTATTGATTGGTATTCGTTGTATCGATCGTGCCTTAGGCGGTAATTAGCTCTTCTTCAACCCCGCTAACGGTGGTATCTACTACTGAAATATTAGTGTTCCAAAACTTTCACTGAATAGCAGTAGGTCAGTCGGTATATCCATTCTCCCTTTCCTTCTTTATTTATTTAGATTTTATGCTATACGCAATAGGGTATACCGTCAAAATCTGATGTTAAGTGGTTACCGGAGCCTTTGAGATAATTATAAGTTCTAAAGTCTCAGTTTTACAGTACAATGGCTTCCCTAACATTCAAACCGAAACGCATTACTGCTTCACGGCTGAAATAGGCAGGGTGGTGGTACCTACCCGGGCGGACTCACTGTCACTATCGGGCTGTGCTGAGGGCTATCCTTGATCATGTCCACCTTATCCGTCCATTGGCTGCGACTTCATCCTCTTGGCCTTATTATCCTCAGTTTGAACAGATACGAACAGACACTCAAGATTGTTCCAACTGCAATATGACCGAAATTATATATTACGAGTATAATAAAGATAATTCTAAAACAGATGCTCTTGGACTATTAAATTAATTACTCTAAGCAGATGTTCTTGAATAATTTTAAAACGCTCTCTCGAATTGTGTTGTCAATCTTATTTATAAGGGAAGCCGACAGAATAGTCTCTTGTTTTTTGGTACAACATGCAATGGCCAATCATAAATAATCGTCAACAAATATTCGGACCAATTGCAACCGAATAATGTATGAAGACATGTCTTACGGTCCCGCCGCAGTATTTGCGAAGATCCTTAGCCCCACCCACGCGGCCGAGATAATTACGTTAACAACAAAAAACGTTTCAATTACATACAACCAGAGCTCATGATTTGCATGTAGTGTCACAATAACAAAAGTGTGGAACACAGAACGCTGCGTCACGAGTAGGCGGCGCTCCTTGTCCGCTACCCACGTACCTCAAACGACCTCTTTTACCGCTGTTGTAATTATGCATTAATATCAAAGGAATTAATTAATCGGATGCGAATATTAATGTCCTTAATTTGTTTATTTTTATTTATTTATTTATGCATGTTACTGGTGGTAGGATCTCTTGTGAGTCCGCACGGATAGGTACCACCATCGTGCCTATTTCTGTCGTGAAGCAGTAATGAGTTTCGGTTCGAAGGGCGGGGCAGCCGTTGTAACTACATATACTGCAACTATACCGCATTTACGTTGTAGATGTCTATGGGCTCCAGTAACCACTTAATACCAGGTGAGCTGTGAGCTCGTCCACCTATTTAAGCAATTAAAAAAATGTGACTAGGAGATGTATGGAAATGGTAGTGCAAGGTAGAGGGGGAAGAGATCGACCGAAAAAGACATGGATGGAATGTGTGAATGACTATATGAGAGAGAGATAAGTGAGTGTTGACATGACGGCTGACAGAAGGGAATGGAAGAGAAAAATTTGCTGTGCCGACCCCACACAGTGGGATAAGGTGGAGAAAAAGAAGAAGATTGATTTATTTATTTATTTATTAAGTTACACCAACAAAGTGATCATCAATACAAAACATTGACAAGCTGACAAAAGTTCATGGCAGATGTCACCTCAATTATAGGTACAATTGACAGTGCATTGACAACAAAAATAAAAAATTATATACCTAAAACTTGATTACATTTGATTGATTGCCTATGATTAATTTTTATTTAATGGGTTAATTATCCGCGACAGATTTTTCCTGAAAGTTGTGAGACAATTTGAAAAAACATCTGTTTCACTTAAAATTAGTTCAGCGCAATTGGACAACTCTAAATGAACATTGACGGAGACCGCGTTGCCGTGGACATTATTGTAGTCCCAAAGGATTATGTTTAAGGGAGATAGTAAGTTAATGATTGAGGTCGTATTTTCGTGCCAGTTTTAAGGGTCAGATAGCCTTCCAGCTCCGGTTTGTAGATGGGCGCATGTTACGTCGATAGCGAAGAGACGACA